CACTGTGTGGTCTGAGTTACCCCGTCACTCCTCTCTCTCCCACTGATGGTGGCACACACCACGGTGTGACGTCACACTCACACTGTGTGGTCTGAGTAACAGGAGCAAATGCGATCTAAGACTGGATTCTCAGGTGCACTTTCCCGTGTTCTTGGTATAGTGTCGATGCACACATTGCTTACGTATCCTGGGATAAGAAATTAACATTTCATGGTTCTGATAGCTTTATTTCTTCACTAGATTGGCTCAGCGACAGCTTACACACAACCTCCTCTACATTTCCACGACTCAGTTTTGTCATTGCCCGTCTTCCACATCTGTCGTAGCCAATGTGTATCAGAGCAGAAAGTGCCACATCGTGAGCCACTGGGGGGCGCCAACAGCAGCGACGCGCTCCGGTCAGCCTTGGGATCTCTGTGGGAATAGCAGCTGGTGGCGGGGTTGTGTTCTGTCCCTGAGCTGGTGCAGCGTCCGACTCAGCCTGGCAAGGGATTCCCTTATGGTAAGCTCCTTCCACGCCGATGTCTACCATCACATCAAAGCCGTGCTCGGTGGGAGAGGCAGTAAATGTTGCACTGGAGAGCAGCCAGCCTTTCATGGCACTACAGTCACAGCGTGTCAGCAGCGGTGTTGAGCTGTCAGGACCTGAATGCCGTAGTTAAGCTTAGTTCTTGGGGCCAGCGTGTGGCCCAGCGGGTTAAGCTACCTGCAGTGCCGGCATCCCTGTGAGTGCTTTTTGAAGTCCCAGAAGCTCCACTTCCTGTCCAGCTGCCCGCTGACGTGCCCGGGGAAAGCAGTAGATAATGGCCCGGGTGCTTGGGCCCTGCCACTCACGTGGAAGACCGGGATGGAGCTCCAGGCTCCTGGCTTCTGCCTGGCCCAGTGCTGGCTATTGTGGTTATTTGGGGAGTAAACCAGTGGATAAAGATCTTTCTCTTTCTGTCTCTGCCTCTCTATAACTCTACCTTTGAAATAAAATAAATACATCTTTTTTAAAAAAAGATTGATCTCGGGGCTGGTGCTGTGGCACAGTAGATTAACACCCTGACCTGAAGTGCCGGCATCCCATATGGGCGCTGGTTTGAGACCTGGCTGCTCCACTTCCGATCCAGCTCTTTGCTATGTCCTGGGAAGGCAGTAGCAGAGGGCCCAAGTCCTTGGGCCCCTGCACCTACGCAGGAGACCCAGAATAAGCTCCTGGCTCCTGGCTTCAGATCAGCCCAGCCCCAGTCATTGTGGCCAATTGGGGAGTGAACCAGCGGATGGAGGATGCCCCCCCTCCCCCGCCTCTCCTTCTCTCTGTGTAACTCTGACTTTCAAATAAATTAAATCTTAAAAAAAAGAGTGATCTCACGCTGCTGCCACACGATGCACACGCAGAGAAGGCAGTGCTGTTTCAACTGCCCCAGAGGCCTGGGCTGAAGCACTGCCCAGCCGTGGCAGCCAGGGCTGCTCTGAAGGGAGGAGAAGTGGTCCACACCGGAGGGACAGAGGTGGTGGCGGTGGTGGCGGCCCTGCCGGCCCTCAGAGCAGTGGTTGTTGTCTGAATTCCGCCTCCATAGGAGGAGGAGAGCCTGAAGAGGCAGGCTCCTGGTGTCAGGAGGGAAGTGGCTTTTCGAAGCTACTGTTGCTTATCCTCTACCCTTAGTCAAGGTCTGTTCACAGCTGCCCCAAATCAAAACAACATCGTGGGCCTCCCCCTACCCAGCATCTACTGTGGTCCAACCACCCTCGCCTGTGTGTGGGGGCAGACATGGCCTCCTTCCCTAGTGTGGTTGCCCTGGAAAGCCCGCCAGGGCCATTAGGGCTCACGGTTCCCAGCCCCAAATGGGACCCCGGGGCTAGCTTTTGGCGCCACGTCTTCTCTGCAGGAAAACAGCGTGGTGTTGGCGGCCACGGTAGGACACGCGGACTGGAGGTGGCCTCTGTTGCTCTGGCCTGCTCAGTCTGCCATGGCTGTGGTTTGCACAGAAGATGAGAAGAACCAGCAGGTCACATTGGAGGGAGAGAGCGATGCCAGTTACTGAAACCCTCCACTGTTGTGCCAGGACCACCGTGGCTGGGCCATGCCTGTCCCGCGGAGGCGTCTCCTGCACAGGCTCGACACAGGGGAGACAACGCCCCGAGTCAGGCGCAGGGTCCTCTGGGCTTCACTGGCAGAGAACATGCAACTGAGCATCCTTTGAGCCTGTGCCCTGCCGCCTGCGCGGTGCCCACGGCGAGGCGCTGGGTGGCTTGAGGCTGCGCCCCACTCGCTACCTGCTGGGGTGCCCGAGCTGCTGCCCCATGGCTGCAGAGCCCCTCCCAACAGGGCCCACTGGAAAGCTGCACACCAAGGGCCTACCAGACCTGGAGGAACTCCAAGTCGTGCAGTGGGCGCGTCACGCTCTCCCTGGACGGTGGAGGAGCCGTGCAGCATGCCAGCTACCTGCAGGGCACTGCTGGCTGCCCCTGAGTGGGGTTCCTGCACGTGGAAGTTCACAGGATCGGGGCTCCTGGAAGAGATTCCCCAAGGTGAGTTACATCTGCCATCCTTCCTCCCACCTCGTCTCGTCAGGGACAACCAGGGAGATGTCCACACAAGATGCTCCACCTGTTGAGACCCGACGGTGAGGCAGACGTGTGGCAGCTGTTCAGCACTGGTTGGGCCTCAGCCACGTGCCGCAGGTCAGGTGCCACGGTTCCCGTGACCGGGGACCCTGAGCTCCCAGAGTCTGGCTGCTTTAGGCCGGCGCTGAGAGAGGCTGCAGGTTCTATGGGGGTGGGCTGCGGCTGTGTCGCCAATGCCGCAGAATTCACACCCGTGCTCCGGTGCCTGGACATCCAGACAAGGTGCCCCGATGTGGTTTCTGGGCAGGGCTCCTGTCCCGGCCCCTTCTCAACAGGCTCACAGGCTAAGGGCTGGAGACTCCTCCTCCTCTCAGGAGGCCCAGGCTTACCAGGCCGTCACCCCCATGACCTCCCTGACCTTGACTGTGTCCTGGAGACTCTCCAGGGGATCAGGGATTTGCGTTGTAAATTCAGTCCACAGCAGGGGTTGAGGTGCAGCCCCAAACCAAGTGAAGCCTCGAGGGTTTTCCTTCACCAGGGTTTCGGAGCTACTTGACGGCTGACACGTCATCGCTGCAGCAGGTGAGGTCGCGTTTCCAACCACATCCTCTGTTCTGTAGAACTTTCCCGACTCCCAGACTGAGGACGACTATTCTTTCTGTATATTAAAAATATACAAATCGCCACGTGAATCATGGGCTATTTGGGGTAAGTGCACTGTAGCTTATGCAGTAAACTAGACTGCCGGGTCCACCCTCTGCTGATCACAGTTGCGCTGGGTTGACTGCTGAGCGTGTGCTGGGCTCCAACGTCCGTTACTTCCCAGCATGCACGTGAGGTGCCTCCTCTTCACACCGCAGCAAACAGGATCACGCAGGACTTAGGATGAGAGTCAGCCAGATTTCACGCCCAAGCCAAGAAATCCCTGTCCTGTCGGTGTTGGTGTTATGTTGATTGGAGCGGACGACAGCTATCAGATCCTCCTGGGATGTTTCTCACCCACAGGGAGTTCTCGTCTCACGCCACAAAACACAGGTGTACACAGAGACCCGGCCCCAGAGCCAGGCTAAAGTCGGGGCCTGGGAACATCCCTGGGGGGCCTAGTGACGGGCTCCGCCTCTGCAGAGGAACACTGATGCCCTGGTCTCCGAACCAGGGTGCTGCCTAATGTGGGACAACGTGTTTGCAGACGTAACTGACCCGAGGCGCGCGAGCTGAGCTCTCTGGCTGCCCGGGGTGGGGTGGGGGGCCTGTATCCACCGTCCTCGCAGGAGATGCTTAGAAGAGGGTGGGGGTAGGGGTGGGGGTGGGGGTGGGGGGCCTGTATCCACCATCCTCTCAGGAGATGCGCAGAAGCAGACGGCGGTGGGGGTGGGGTGGGGTGGGGGGCCTGTATCCACCGTCCTTGCAGGAGATGCACAGAAGGGGGTGGGGGTGGGGGTGGGGGGAGGCCTGGCGCCCCCACAGCCAACCCTGGCCCAGCTCAGCTCCGTCCCCAGGGTCCCGCCCAAGCCCGGGTTCCTGACTCACACCAGCAAGAGTAAACTTCTGCCGTGTAAGCCCAGCTTGCTGTAACATCTGACAGCATCCTTAGGATCTACGCGCTACAACGCAGCCAAAGCGACTCGGGCAGGAGTGAACACAGGCGTGCGAGAGAAAAAATAAGATAACCCAGGCCCTGTCTCTGCCACTCGGATTCGGCAGGAGTCGCCCCACACTGCGCCGCGGAACCCTCGTCAGCCTCAGCGCCCGCCCTGAGCAGGCCCCGCGGGCTCTGCGTGCGGCTACGCCCGCGCAGTCAGCGCACACCGGGCACCGCAGCCGCACAGGGTGGGAGGACGCGTGGGCCGGGAGCTCGTGCGCGGGTGGCGCCTCTCGCGTGGCTCCCGCCCGTGTGTCCTGGAGCGGACGGGGTTCAGGGCGTGCAGCTGCCATCTTCGGGCCACAACCACAAGAAGAAGCCTCCGTCACGGATGGGCCCAGGGCGGCAGGAGCAGCCACTCGGCCGCCCTCGCACAGCGCCGGGCCCCGGGCGCCAGCTGTTCACGGCACCGCGGAGGAGGCGCCTCAGGGCCGCGCCTGGGAGCTGCGTGCCGCGCCCCCGACGCTGCGTCACGTGACGACCCTGGGCTGCGTCGCACCTCGCCACGCCACGCCCCCGACGCTGCGTCACGTGACGACCCTGGGCTGCGTCGCACCTCGCCACGCCACGCCCCTGACGCTGCGTCACGTGACGACCCGGGGTGGGTCGCGCCATGCCATGCCACGGCGCTCGCTGAGAACGCCTGAGGCGTCGTCACGTGACGACCCGGGGCTGCGTCGCGCCACGCCACGCCTCGCCTCGCCTCGTCACGTCACGTCGCACCCGCTCTCGACGCTGCGCCACGCCCGTGCCGGGGCGGAGAGGCGGGGTTCGGAGGGCGCGGGCGGCGCGCCAGGGCTCGCTCCTCGGGCCGTGTGGCCAGGCCTGGTCCGGCACGTGCGGCCAGCGGCCCACCGACGGACTCCCCGGCCAGCGCGCCCGGGGCTGCTTGGAGCCTGCGGTGGAGCCGCCGCCCTCCCAGATGCAGCGATTGTTGTGGGCAGAAAGGTAAGTGGGCCGCGTCAGCACCGCCGCCCGAGCCCGCGCGTGCTGAGGCCTCCCGGAGGAGGTGCAGGCGAGAGGGGAGCATGTCTGGGTGCGCGGCCTCCAGCCCCGCGCCACCCTGAGTGGCACCTGCCTGCTCGTGCACACGCTGGGAGGCCGCAGGTGACGGCGCAGGCGTTTGGCTGGCACCGCTGTGGGATAGATGTCACGCGGGCTCCTGGCTTCAGCCTCACCCAGCTGTGGCTGTCGGGCGTGACCCCGCAGGTGAAAGCCCTCTGTGTCTCCAGACGGCCCCCAGCAGAGCCTCAGCTGTTCAGGACGGTGGTGCCTTTCCTCGGACCAGGCCAGAGCAGGACCTGGGATCCTGGGGCTGCAGGGACCCTGGCGTGTGCCCGGAGCCAGATGGCGGGTCGGCCGGGCTGGAGGGCGTGGCGCACTCCCGGCGGCTCCTCTGCGGCGTGGGCAGATGCAGGGGTAGTCCGCACCGGGTGGGCTGGGTTCCGCTGTCTAACCCGGAGAAGCTCCTGGGGCAGGCGCCTCTGTCTCCAGGCGCCCGTTGCTTCGCTGCTGTCCGGTGTGCACCGTGTTCACCCCTCTGTGCTGTCGACACCCCTTTCTCCTGCTGCCATTCCTGCTTCCAGAGGAGACCTCCTGTGGCGGTTGTCACTTCTGCCGGCAGACGGAAGGAGTCAGGGGCAGCCGTCCTTGTCACTAAGCGGAACTTACAGCCTCTCAGAGCACAGCCCAAGACGAGACGGCGACGCCTGCTTGGCGGCGAGGCTGGCCGTTGCCTTCTCTGAGTAACTGCAGACTCACGGGAATACCAGCTGGGTCGCGAGCCTTGCTCATCTCGAGGCTTCCTGAAGGCCCGGCTCATCTCTGAGCCCTGCCGAACTTGGTTCTCGCTCAGGCACGCCAGGGCTCAGCTAAGGAAGCCCGACCAGGATGAACAGCTGTCGTAGGGCAGCCTTTCTGGGGCGTTCTGAAGGGAACGCCTGGTCTGGGCACGAGGCTCCGTGACACCTGCTGACCCTGATCGGATTCCTGGGTGTTGAGCTGGGGACTGTGCTGCCAGGGTTCCCTTCAGGATGGAGGCTGGGAAGCCGTAGCCCGTCCTCAGTGGCTTCCCAGTGCAGAACGGTTTGAAGAGGGGCCGAGGGGTCACAGAGAATACCTGGGAGCTGAGTCCTTCTCGGTGTGCCCTGGGCAGTCGGCTGCGTATGGCCCCCACCGAGGCCTTCCCTGTGGAGCCGCTTCCTAATGGCCAGCGCTATCCGTCTGTCTGTCTGATAGCACTGACCCAGGTGTGGTGACAGGGGCTGGCAGGACGAGGCCTCTGGCAGGAGCACAGTGTCTCACCGGCACCAGGGAGTCACTCTGGCCGGTCCCAGCCCCTGAGAGGCACGGCTGTGCCATCCTTGGTCCTGCATGACCGTGCTGGGAGGAGACGCCTCGTCACTGCCCCTACCCTCACCCCCTAGCGATGCCTCGTTTGTAGGGCAGGTGGGAAGAGAGGAAGGTGATGAGGCCACGCCCAGCTTTGCAGGTAGTGCCGTTTATGGAGTCACAGGAGTGAAGGGAGCGGTGCCACCCCTCAGCTGCTGCACGGGAGCCGGGATTAGAAACTTGTACCCCGCAGCTCAGCCGCCGCTGTGCAAGCTGTCCCCGGAATGTGGTCCTCTCTAGCGGTGCTAGCCCGTAAGGCAAGCACGGGAGGCCCGGGGGTCTGTGGGCTGCTCTCAGGAGGAGGGAGCCAGGGAGCACCGGGAAGCGGGCGTGCTGGCAAGAGTAGACAGCTTAGGACAGCGTGTGGTGCGGAATGTCTCGGAGGCGCGCCAGTAAACACTGTGCAGGCACTTGGTCACGGTCACTAACGCCTGTTCTGAGTTTTTAGTTCTTTCTGAGCTCCTGGAGTCTGCGCTGGCTTTGCAGGGGACCCTTGTCCCTCTGTCCTCCATCCCCGCCCCCGGAGTAGCCCAGGCGTCAGCAGAGGAAGGCAGTACAGCCGAGGGCAGTCCCGGCCCTCAGCCTTTGTTCACGTCTGTTCCGAGTCAGAGGTGGCTGCACGGGTTACGGCAGGAACCCCTTCTGAGAGATGGAGAACCAGTCTGACAGAGGGGCTGGACGTAGAGCTGCTCCCTGCTCCCTGCCCTTTGTCGGTTGAAGTAGGGGACGTCTGAGGGTTGTTTTCTTTTTTGCATTTTGTTTCCTGAACACCAATATCTTAAAAATTTTTAAAAGATTTTATTTATTTATTTGAGAGGTAGAGTTACAGACAGTGAGAGAGAGAGAGAGAGAGAGAGAGAGAAAGGTCTTCCATCCACTGGTTCACTTCCGAAATGTCTGCAATGGCCGGTGCTGCGCTGATCCGAAGCCAGGAGCTTCTTCCTGGTCTCCCATGCGGGTGCAGGACCCAAGCACTTGGGCCATCCTCCACTGCCTTCCCAGGCCACAGCAGAGAGCTGGATGGGAAGAGGAGCAGCCGGGACTCAAACCGATGCCCATATGGGTTGCCGGTGCTGCAGGTGGAGGATTAACCTACTGCACCACAGGGATGGCTCCTAAAATTTTTTTTGAAGTAGATGTTAGACACAATGAAAAAAATCTCCCTTCTGCTGGTTCACTCCTTCAACTGCCGGTAATGGTGGGGGGTGGCGGGGGATGGGTGCGGAAGCTGGGAGCTGAGAGGTCAAGCCAGTCTCTCCCGAGTGTGGAAGGAACCTCTTCATGTGAGCCGGCACTGCCGCCTCCCAGGTGCACGTCGGCAGGAACCTTGAGTCCGGGCCTGGGGATCCAACCCAGGCCCTGCAGAATGGCATGTGGGTGTCTTAACCGCTGCCCCCACAACCCTGTTTGAAGTATAAATTAATATGTACGGGTGTGTTGAGCCGGCGCCGTGGCTCAATAGGCTAATCCTCCACCTTGCGGCGCCGGCACACCGGGTTCTAGTCCCGGTTGGGGCGCCGGATTCTGTCCCGGTTGCCCCTCTTCCAGGCCAGCTCTCTGCTATGGCCAGGGAGTGCAGTGGAGGATGGCCCAGGTGCTTGGGCCCTGCACCCCATGGGAGACCAGGAAAAGCACCTGGATCCTGGCTCCTGCCATCGGATCAGCGCGGTGCGCCGGCTGCAGCGGCGGCCATTGGAGGGTGATCCAACGGCAAAGGAAGACCTTTCTCTCTCTGTCTCTCTCTCTCACTGTCCACTCTGCCTGTCAAAAAAAAAATTAAATAAATAAATAAAAATATGTACGGGTGTGTAAAATACTCGGTGAGGAGCCGAGCATTGCCTTCAAGGTTTTTGTGGTGCAGTGGACTTTGTTTCGGGTTTGTTTACTTCCAGATGGTTAGGAGCCAAGGAACCTTTGCACAGAGGAAGGAGGGCCCAGCAGTGGATGCACTGTTAGTGGGAGTCCGCAGGGGCACCCCTGGGTGCGGGGAGCCGCTGAGTGTTCAGACAGGAAGTGAGCGCCACCTCCGTGCCGCCCTGCTGCCACTGCCCCCTGTTCCTCTCTTCCTCCTGCCTCGGCCACTGAGCCAGGAAACAGAGCAGGCACGTGCTGTGTGCTGGTGTGTTTGGGTACTGCAGACAAGGTCACAGGGCTCTAGAGAGAGCCCCCGCCGTGCCCAGTCGGTGACCGAGTGTGGCCTTACAGGTGCAGGAGTGTGTGCCCTCCAGATGGAAACCTACTTCAGTTTGTCCTCCTCTCTGAAGAAGGCGGAGTGTTTCCCAGTCATTCACGGGACCATTCCATCGCGAGCCCGTGACACACACACAGCAAAGCGTGGGCCTCACTCCCTGTGTCCCTCCTGGCCCACGTGGGCCCCTTCTCTCTCCAACCTAAGCGGGATTCCAGAGGCTCGAGCCACCTCCTTCCCCCGTGATCCCTGGTCTTGGCTAATTTCTTCTGCTTGTATTTTAATGCCCGTCTGGCTCCAAAAGCAGCCTTGAGGATGTTTTCGAAAATACGTGTACCTTACTTTGTTTAATTCCTTATTCTAGCATGAGTTTAGGGTACTTTGTCTCTTTTTTCCCCTGTGTGAATGCTGATGGACCGTTGTAAGAACGGCTGGGGGTCTTGGGGTGGGCTCCTCCCCTGACCGCCGAGCTTGCGCACTGTGTGTCTGCTGACAGGCGAGGGCTGTGCCAGGTCACTCAGCACTTCTCCCAGCGGGGTGAGGGTGTTCCCTTCTTCCCAGTCAGAGCTCAGAGGGGTGAGAGTCCTGTTGTCACGTGTGCTTTCCTAGGAAGCCTCCACAATGCCCAGCCTAATGAATTTGACGTGGGAGAAGTGGGGTTTAATTTTAATCCAGGTCCTTGCCTTCTACCTTAAGCACAGGCGCATATATGGTACGCAGTTTATTTAGAAGATTAAGAAAGCAGACACACAGGTGCACACACACACAGACACACACACGGACGTAGAGTGGGCCAGACAGAAGGGGTAGGGGAAGGGAAGTAGAGGGGTCACCCTCAGCACCTTCTCTGGTCCTAGTCCAGCAGAAGAGTGAGCGAGCACCTCCCAGCGCCCCTTTTTTGAGGTGATCTGATTATTGGGAGATTCATGACAGCGCCATAAACGTCCACTGGAGCTTGCTGCACATGTTACATGGCCACCCTTCGCCTGTCCTGGGTGAAAGTAAGGCCTCCTGGGAAAGAGGGTGTTCTGGCAGCTAGGACGGAGTCACATGGGGCGAGGCCTTGTGGTCTGTGGTCTGCAGCTCAGCCGCCTTACCCCGCATCAAACTCGCTTTTAGTTTTGCTGTGGAGTCTGTCCCTCTGAGTTGCGTGCACCTGCGGATGTTCTCCGGTTCGTCAGAATTGTCGTCTGGTTGGACTTACTGCAGAGCAGTGGATGCTGGCCTTGATAAGTTTCTGCACATCCACGTGTCTTTGTTTGCCCTCCAGATTGGTGACTCTGTGGGTGTAGGGAGCTGGAGTTTACCAGCCACTCCTGCTGTGTGTGGACGCCTGGCTTTCCCTGACCCACGGATGTTTCCCCCCAGG